ATCCAATGATTGATTTGTGTATATCCTTGCATCCCTTGAATAAATCCCACTTGAATATGGTGTATTATCCTTTTAATATGTTGTTGGATTCTGTTTGCTGCTATTTTGTTGAGGATTTTTGCATCTATGTTCATCAGTGATATTGACCTATACTTTTCTTTTATGAGGTATCTTTGTCTGAGCTTGGTATGAGGATAATGATGGTCTCAAAGAATGAATTTGGGAGTGTTCCTCCCTCTGCAATTTTTTGGAACAGTGTCAGAAGGATGTGTATTAACTCTTAGCTAAATGTTTGATATAACCCTCCTGTGGAGCCATCTGGTATTGGACTTTTGTTTGTTGGGTGTTTTTAATCACATTTCAATTTCAGTACTTGTGATTGATCTGTACATATTTTCTATTTCTTCCTGGTTCAGTCTTGGGAGATTGTACCTTTCTAAAAATGTGTTCACTTCTTCCAGGTTGTCCATTTTATGGCATATAGTTACTTGTAGTAGTCTCTAATGATCCTTTGCATTTGTGTGGTATAAGATTTGCAACGCTGTCTTTCCCCTGCTGTAGTGACTGGGGAAGCTCAATTTGAGACAGAGCTTCCTGCCACTCCATGGCAACAAGGAGTATAATTTAGAAATAAAATTATATGTTCATGGTGTTAAGTTACTGAAAATTGTGATGTTTGTTACTACAGCAAGACCTGACCCATTTTGACTGATGCATATTCTATCACTGGTAATTTAGACAGGAAGCCACCCTGATCAGGTATATACACAGTGTGTGTTGCTGTATCTTATAACTGTTGGACTCCAGTCTCTTATTGGACTCTGAGTTCCTTGAGGATAGAAATAGTATGCACTTAATTTCTTCACACCACCATCAGATCTGACACATAGTTAGAAGTTAGCACATATTTGAAGACTGAATGGAACAAATGAATTAATCGATGAGTCTCATAACAGGTAGCTAAGTCTTTTGGGCAGGGAGATTTCTCAGAGGAAGATAGAATAGAAGGAGTAAAAAGATTGCCAAATTAAGCTTGGAGCTCAAATAAGTATAATAAGCATAAGTTTATTGTAGCATATAGCTACAGATATGAGTGTTCATTTTTGGTTTTCATTTTGTTCTTGTTTGCTTGCTTGCTTGCTTGAGTTTTTTGTTTTGTTTTGTTTTTTTGCTAGCCCTGTTCTAGTGCCTGTATGATTCCAGAATCAGACGTTGGCAGGTCACCTGACAAGAGTACACTAAAGCAGTGAAGGAATGAGTCACTAAAGAGACAGGAAGTCGACTCTAAACTTGATCAGCAATGATAACTCCCCAGTGGAAGGTGACAGAAAGCTGTGTTTATAGCAGTTGAGTCATTAGTGGAGCTTGATAAAGTAAATATCAGCTCAAAATCTTCCCACCATTGATCAGGCTGGGAGAGAAGACATAGATAAATACCAGGTGCAAAGTTAACAGGAAACATTTCTCCTGGGGTAGGAATAAAGTTTTTATCTCTTCAGTCATAAAGTTGAATGACTATTGCTTTCTTAATGAGAAACTTGCCTAAAAAAATCTAAGTCACTTTGCAGACAAATATCCTTCATCTCCAACCTAGGAGCAAAGGTGCAGATATGAGACTTTATGCATTCACTTTTTTTTTCCCATTTATTTTTATTAGTTGGAGGCTAATTACTTTACAATATTGTAGTGGTTTTTGCCATACATTGACATGAATCAGCCATGGATTTACATGTGTTCCCCATCCTGAACCTCCCTCCCACCTCCCTCCCCACCCCATCCCTCTGGGTCTTCCCAGTGCACCAGCCCTGAGCACTTGTCTCACGCATCCTACCTGGGCTGGTCATCTGTTTCACCCTTGATAGTATACATGTTTCGATGCTGTTCTCTCAGAACATCCCACCCTCACCTTCTCCAACAGAGTCCAAATGTCTGTTCTATACATCTGTATCTCTTTTTCTGTTTTGCATATAGGGTTATCGTTACCATCTTTCTAAATTCCATATATATGCATTAGTATACTGTATTGGTCTTTATCTTTCTGGTTTATTTCACTCTGTATAGTGGGCTCCAGTTTCATCCATCTCATTAGAACTGATTCAAATGAATTCTTTTTAATGGCTGAGTAATATTCCATGGTTTATATGTACCACAGCTTTCTTATCCATTCGTCTGCTGATGGGCATCTAGGTTGCTTCCATGTCCTGGCTATTATAAACAGTGCTTCTATCTTAACATTGTCATTTCGGCGGTCCACCTCACAGTCCAAACCTGACAAGGATCTATCTACATACAGTTGTGCTTCACTTTGAACTTCTTATAAATTTCTCCCAAGTGTCACTCTTCTCCCAAATTCTGTAATAATTCTTTGTTTGGTGATATATCCCAGAGTTCCTACTCAAATCAAGAAACTTAACTATGTGGGGCTACAGAGCCATCCTTGGTTATCTAGTTGTTGAGTCTAGCAAAGTTTCTCAGCCTCAGCACTATTAACATTTCAGGTCAGATAATCCTTTGTTGTAGCAGTGAGGGAAACAAACCTGTGCATTGTTCAGCATGCTCAGCAGCACCTCTGACCTCTAGTCACTAGACACCAGTAGCACCCCCAGTTGTGACAGCCAGAAATGTCTTGGTACCCTGTCAAATGTCTCTGGAGAATACATTCACCACCTGCTGAGAGTCACTGGGCTAGGACATTCATTATCAATGGTGGCCATATCACCAGTAAGATCTTCAAATTTTTAAGTTTTGTAACTGGAGTATTTTTGAGGAAGGGGGAAGAAATCTTATATATCACAATAGTGTGTGGCCCTCCGAAAGATCATAGTACATGTACAAATAAACAATATAACAGCAGTATTAAAATTTCACCACAGAGGAGCCAATAGGAAGAAAAGGGGTCTAAACAGGCCCTTGTAGAAGGGCAATAATAGAAAGAAGTTGAGAAACTACAGGCCTGGATAAGCTGCAGTGGAAGCGGAAGTGAGAGTGTTGGAAGGAACTGAAGTTAGAGCATGAGCAATGGCAGACTCCATTCAGGGACATCTGTCTGGGCGTTAGGAATCCTATTCTGTGGTTGTGTGGGAGTGCAGGGAAGGCAAAATGCAGAGGAGAGCAATCTGATAGCTCTGGGGTTTAGGCTATTTGAGTTTAAAGTAATTTAACATTCCAATTTACCACCTAACTAGCTACGTTCCAAGCATACAACCACCTCCAGAGCAGAGGGGGGCCACTTCTACTGGTTACCTTGGGCTGCTGTAACAAACTACCAGAATGAATGGCTGAAAACAACAGAAATGTATTTTCTCATCGTTCTGAAATCAGGTGTTGGCAGAGCCACCCTTTCTCCAAATGCTCATGGGGAGTGTCTGTTCCTTGCCTCTTCCTGCTTCTAGTGGCTGTCAGAATTCCTTGTGGCCACATCAGTTCAACCTCTGCTTCCATAGTCTCATAGTCCTGTTCTCCTCTCTGAGTCTTCTCCTCTGTGAGTCTCTCAGAACTCCTCCTGCTTCTGTCTTCTAAGAATACATATTAAGGGCCACCAAGATAATCTAGGGGAAAGGTCTCAAGATCCCCAACTTAATCAAATCTTTTGCCATCTAAGGCAATATTCACAGGTTAAAGATTAAGATATGGATGTAACTTTAGGGACCCATCCAACCCATCACAGTACTATGCTAACACAGATATAGATCATTTGTGACCGAAAGTTCTTTTGCACAGGGCTATAGCAAGGAAAATTATAAACCAAGAGTCAAAACATTTGATGAGGGCTTTCCTGGTGACTTGGTGGCAAAGAATCCACCTGCCAATGCAGGAGACACAGGTTCAATCCCTGATCTAAGAAAATCCCACATGCTATGAAGCAGCTAAGCCCATGAACCACAACTACTGAGTCAGCACTGGACTCTGTGTTCTGCAAAAAGAGAAGTCTGCTCGTCACAAGTAGAGAAAAGCGCCCCCAGAAACAGAGACCCAGAACAGTCAAAAACAAATAATTAAATAAAATTATTTCCAAAAATTTTGAAGAGTGGTCAGAACGGACCTAGCAGCAAGTGAACTTATCACAAAGAATGAAGTCAATGTAAATGTCAAGGGAGTAGTTCGTGTTTGTTTTTTTTTAATCGCCGTTTTGAAAAGCCATAAAATTTCCCATTTTAATTATTAAGTGCATAATACAATAGTGTTAACTATAGTCACATTATTGTGCAACAGATCACTAGAAATTCTTCATATCGCAAACCTGGACCTCTACACCCATTGAACAAGTACCCCTTTCCTCCTCTCCCCGCCCCGCATCCCCAGTCCCTAGTAACTATTGCTTTGCTTTCTATTTTGAAGAGATGGAGCAGAGATGTTTAGAGCTGACAGATAATTGGATCAGCCACCATAAGATATCTTTAATCGGGTATGTGAGTGAACACCAAACAACTAGGAAAAGCGGGAACTCAGCTTGACTCATTTCTCTCAATGCTCTGGACCACGGAAACAGCCCATCAGCCTTTTTCCAGTCACGTGAGCCTCTGAGGCTCTAGCATCTCGTTGGCAACAGCTCCCGCGAAGTGTGGGAAGAGCAAGAGGAGGGACCAATAGCGATGGGCCAATTAGGAAGCAGAGGCCCCCTGACCCTGCGCTTGCGCAGTACTCTCTGGCCCGCTCCAGGAAGAGCTGTGTTCCTGGGTGCAGGTGCTAGGTAATACGTGTGGCAACTTGCCTGGCCACACAACACACCAGGGAGCTAGACGCAGCCCACTTGCTCCCGGAACCCTATAGAAAGTAGCGGACAAGCCGGAAAGAGCCCCAGACCACTTCCGAATACCAGGTGCCTCCAAAGGCCAAGCTCACAGTGGCCCACCCAGCAAGTAGGGCCTCAGGAGGGGTTCACAAGTGGCAGAAAGCCTATTCTTGTGGGAGGTCGATCCTGGACAGACTGGGTGTTTCTTCCTGTGGACCTGAGCTGACTAGCTCCTGTCTTTCAGAGAGAAAGGGACAAGGCATCAGTCATGCAACAAGCAGCTCCCAGCAGCCTTCTCTTGGCCTGTAGCCTGGCCTTGGCACCTTTCCTCACAGGTACGTGTATAGGGTATGTCCCTAACCAAATTCTCTCATCACCGCTTGCCCACCCACATTCCTGTATCCTTAGCTGAGTTATCCTCTGTATTCCTCTTTGCATTCTCTCATTAATGTGCTCATTCCTGCATTCTCGCCCTTGTCCTTCCATTCTTGTCTGTATTCTTGCAGACCTCAGTGACACTTTCCTTGTGGGTGCTTTGCTCGGCATGGACATCTGCAGTGATTATACAGGCATCATTCCTGCCCTCATAGGTCTTACAATGTACCAACCAGTGTTGGGAACAGAGTCCTGAGTGTCAGTTCAAATCACCTCCAACTCCTTACTGCCTGGCCTCAGGCAAATAACTGAGCCCATCCACGGGGCTTCCCAGGTGGGGCTAATGGTAAAGAACTCGCATGCCAGTGCAGGAGACATGAGAGATACGGGTTTGATCCCTGTGTCGGGAAGATCCCCTGGAGAAGGGCATGGCAACACACTCCAGTGTTCTTGCCTGGAGAGTCCCATGGACAGAGGAGCCTGGCGGGCTACAGGCCACAGGGTCACAAAGAGTCAGACACAACTGAAGTGACTTAGACCTCACACACATGCCTCTAGTATGGGCTTCCTAAGTGACTCAGAATCTGCCAGCAATGCAGGATACATCCCTGCATTGATTTGATCCTGTGGGAGGAGGGCATGGCAACCCACTCCAGTATTTCTTCCAGTTCAGGTATCATTGCCTTGGGCCCCAGAGGGCACAGGGAGACTTGAGGGCAACTTCAAGGGGAGAGGAGGAAGTAATACTGCCACACTTAACCTGGTGACCATTTTTCTTCAGACTTGCCCTCGTTTACTCTGCTGGTCAGAGCTTCTTTTGTGGTTATGATTTATAGTGAAGTTTGCTTGAGTGTTCTCTACCATAAGCCTTTTTCCTGGTTTTATTAATATAGTATTAACATACATCACTGTACATCACTGTATAAGTTTAAGGTGTGCAGCATAATGGTTTGACTTACATTTATTGTGAAATAATTACTGAGTACGTTCAATTTTTCCCTTGTGATAAGAACTCAGGATTTACTCTCCTAACTTTCAGTGTTAACTATAAACATCATGTTGTATTATGTCCCTAGTACTTTTTTCCTTATCACTGAGAGTTTGTGCCTTTTGACCATGTTTTCCTAATGCCCCTTTCCATTACCTCTGGTAAACACAAAGCTGATTGCTTTCTCTATGAATTTGTTTTAGATTCTGCATATAAGTGAGATACATACATATCTTTCTCTGTCTGGCTTACTTTACATAGCATAATGTTCTCAAGGTCTATCTATGTTTCCACAAATGGCAGAATTTCCTTGGTTTTTATGGATGATATCTATATATATACACACACATATATATAAAGAGAGAGAGAGAGATCTCACAATATCTTTATTCATTCATCTATTGATGGAAACTTAGGTTGTTTCCATTCTTGGCTATTAGGAATAATGTTGTTGTGAACATAGGGGTGCAGCTATCTTTTTTTAGTGTTTTCATTTCCTTTGAATGTATTCCCAGAAGTAAAATTGCTGGACTAAATACAGAGGTACTGTATTTAATTTTTTGAGGATCCTCCATACAGTTTTCCATTAGTGGCTATGCCAGTTTACAATTTGTGTTCTCCACATCATCACCAGCATTTGTTATCTCTTGTCTTCTTTATGATGACCGTTCTGTCAGGTGTAAGGTGAAGTATTGTGGTTGTGATTTGCATTTCCCTAATGACTAAATATTGTACATCATTTAAGTCCTGTTGGCAATTTGTATATGTTCTTTGGAAAAAATGTCTATTCAGGAATTTTGCCTATGAATGTTTGATTTTTCCAGGCCTTTTTTTAAGGGACAAAAAAAAACTTTAGGACCCGTCTTTTCTATTATTTCTCATTGTTTTTATTTACTTATATTTATTTGTTTTTAATTAGATAACTTTTGAAATAAATAATATATGCCCACAGTATAAAATGAAAAAGGTATAGGATGGAGACTGTATCTTCTCCTCTGTAGACCCCCAGTTCTGTTCTTTGGAGCTGTGGATAACCAGTTATCCCCTTCATGTTTACCTTTCCAAAGATGGTTCATATATTTATAAACATATTCAAATGTACCATTTTCTTCCCATGGCAGCATTTTATACCTAGCATTCTACATCTTCCCTTAAAGGTACACCTTGGAGAGCTTTTCATATCAGTGCATGTTAGAACAACATATTCTGTATATATCCATTTCATGGACATCCCAGAATCCATGTAACCATGAGCATTTCAGTCACTTTTAATCATTTATTATTACAGGGACTACTTCAGTAAATGACTTGGTATAATTACACATGTAGGAAAATACCTAGGAATTGCTGGATCAAAGAGTTTGTGGGATCAAAATTTTTACTCTATATTTATCAAGTTGCCCTTTAAAGAAATTATACTAATTTACTCATTAGAAACAGATAATGCCTGTTGCTCAAACTCTCACCAACATGCTTTCGTTTCAATTTTCAAATTGTGTTCATCTTACCATGAAAGACTCTAGAGCAGTGCTGTCCAATGGTATTTTCTGCGTCAGCAGTAGGTCTGTGTCTACACTGTTCAGGGCAGTGGTCACTAGCGACATGTGGTTATTGAGCATTTGAAATGAAGAAGCCAAACTGTTAATTTTTAAAATTTTAACTCAATTTAAATAGACACCTTGGACAAAGTAGCTTCAATCAGAGTGGGGTGTAAAAGAGTTTGGAAAGAGAGAAAGGGGCATATGAGACATATTGGTGAGAAACTATGAATTGGAAAACCTTTAATGACTTAAAATTTTTATAGTTTATTTGATTTTTTAAATTAATTTTGTCTTTCTGTATGTGTTCCATCAAACAAGACTCTCTAGGGAAGGCAGGTTACCCTTAAAAACCTTAAATCTCAAGGTTTTACTTTGGTTTTTTGGGGTTTGTTTTGTTTTGTTTTGTTTTTTGGAGTTTAGTTACTAGTAATGTAACAGTGTTGTTTTTTTATTTTTTAACTGAAGTATAATTGACTTATAGCACTGTTAGTTCCAGGTATACAACAGAGTGATTTGATATTTCTAACACGTTACAAAATGACCATGATACATCTAGTTACCATATGTCACCGTGCAAAGTTACTACAATTTTATTGACTATATTTCCCATGCTATACACTTCATCTGTTTGACCAGTTTATTTTGTAACTGAAATTTTGTACTTCTTAATCTCCCTTATCTATTCATCTATTCATCTATTCATCTATTCTCCCTATCTACTCATCCTCCTACACCCCTCCCCTCCAACCACTTGTTTGTTTTCTGAATTTATAAGTCTATTTTGTTATGTTTGTTCATTTGTTTTTTAGATTCCGCATGAGTTAAATCATATGCTATTTGTATTTTCCTTTATGAATTATTTAACTTAACATAATATCAGAGAAGGCAATGGCAACCCACTCCAGTCCTCTTGCCTGGAAAATCCCATGGATGGAGGCGCCTGGTAGGCTGCAGTCCATGGGGTCGCGAAGAGTCGGTCACGACTGAGCGACTTCACTTTCACTTTTCACTTTCCTGCATTGGAGAAGGAAATGGCAACCCACTCCAGTGTTCCTGCCTGGAGAATCCCGGGGACAGGGAACCTAGTGGGCTGCCATCTCTGAGGTCGCACAGAGTCGGACACAACTGATGCGACTTAGCAGCAGCAGCAGCAGCAGCAGCATAATATACTCTAAATCCATCTATGTTGTTGAAAATGGCATTCTTTTCTACTGCTAATACCCCATTGTATGTATATATATATATAAAACACATCTTTATCCATTCATCTATTGATATTTACATTGCTTCCATATCTTGACTTTGTAAGTAATGCTGCAGTAACAGGGATGCATATATCTTTTCATATTAGTGTTTTTGTTTTCTTTGGAAATAGAAGTGAAATTTTTAGATTATTTAGTATCTCAAAGGGTTTTAATCTGGATTCTGCTTCTTCCTCTTCATATGGTAGGATATGACTCTCAGCCCCCAGAAGCCAACCCCCCAACCCCTGCTCTTGCCCAGGATGGAAGGCTTGCTGCTGTCACATTTGCAGCACCCAGGGCAGCATGGCTAAATATTTAAAAGGTACACATTAGGCCAAAAACAAAAAGGTGTAGATGGAATCTTTTGTTTTACTGGACAAACGTACCTTCAGAGTGACCTAAAATGCCTGGGATTTTCCTGCTCCTTGGGATCCCATGCCAGGGAATGCCAGCACTGAGAGATTCCCGCCCTGGTCTCCAGCCCACTTCCTCTCACCACCCCACCTTCCCCTTCACTGACACACCAGTTTTCAAGTCCGAGCTCCCCCATTCCACCTGCTCTGCAAACTGCTTGTGGTACTTGAGCAAGAAATTTCAGGATTGTTGATATCCAGGAAGGATGAGGGGAGGGTATCCTGATGCCAAGTGGGCATGTCCCCCCCGCCGTGTCACTGTACTCTCCCTGTGGGGCTTGGCAGAGCCAGAGAGGGGAGGTCCTGTTGGAGGGGGAAGCTAACTAATTTGAAATCACCTTTCAGTAGTCTGAGAAAAGTTTTGCTGATAAATACTGACTTTTACTCCCTTTTTTCAACTTGCTCTTACTTTCCACAGGTTTCTGCTTCTTCATCCATCGTTTCTTCTATTCCCTGCTCTGCTGCACATCTTTCACTGGGGCAAGCCAGATCTAGTCTTTGTTCTTAACAGTAGCTGGTAGTGGGGACACTTGGATAGAGGTACAGAGGCTGGTCAGTGACTTCAGTTCACTAGGATGTTATCAAGCCCCAAAGGCAGAGAATGCAGGGGTTAAGGCTCCCTCTTGTCGGCCCCTTCTCTGAACATCCCATACCCTTTATTTGTAAGACTTAGTTATTCTGTACAGGTATTTGGAAGAAGATCTCTTTCAGGACTCCATTCAAAAGAGTGTCTCTTTCAGTGAGAACTTCCCGAACCATACTATAAACTGCAACCACACCCTGCCCTTCCTGTCCTGTCTTGTCTTCTCACTAGTATTTATCATCACTTGACATACTGTGTTATTTCTGTCTGCCTTCTCCATCAGAATATAAGCTCCATAAAGGTAGGAATTTTTGTGGTAATTCCAGTGTTAAATGTCACACACAAAATGCTGCGGTAAGGTATTGGGGAGGGTGAATGGGGCAGATCTAACTCTAATTCTGCTCCATGAGCATGGCTTCATTTGCCTGCCAGTGGTAAATAGCCAGCCAGTTTTCTTCCTTTTATTTTTGTATACAGTCTCCTGGGAGATTAAAATAAATGACCTCGATGAGAAGGATGTTAATAAATTCCAGTCCAATGGCTATAAGTGTCCAACATGCTTTGCTGTGATGGGAAGAAAGTGTCACACCGATCTCAAGTGGTGCCGAGCAGATAGACTGCAGTGTGTTGAATTTTCTGGCATCATAAACACAGGTACGTTTCTAGGTACTTTTCCTTCTGGAGAAGGAAATGGCAACCCACTCCAGTACTCTTGCCTGGAAAATCCCATGGACGGAGGAGCCTGGTAGGCTGCAGTCCATGGGGTCGCTAAGAGTCGGACACGACTGAGCGACTTCACTTTCACTTTCCACTTTCATGCATTGGAGAAGGAAATGGCAACCCACTCCAGTGTTCTTGCCTGAAGAATCCCAGGGATGGGGGAGCCTGGTAGGCTGCCGTCTATGGGGTCGCAAAGAGTCGGACACGACTGAGTGACTTCACTTTCACTTTCTAGGATGCAATGTAGACACAACAGGTAGCACCTAAAGTAGCAGTCTCTCACAAGCTTATGGGGCATAGGCCTTAAGGGTGGGGTTGAGGAGAAATAAGCTTTTGTTCAAATCTCTTAGAAATAAGGATACCCAGAGTGGCTTGATTCTGAAAATATGTCTAATTAGTTTTCTCACATTCATTTGTTCATATATGAATTTTTGCATGCTCTTATTAACAAACTTTCTGATATCTTTGAGGAAGTTATTTCAGCATATTGGGTGACCTTTCAACCTCTGCAAACTTTGGTTAGTTTTTTGAAACACAGGGGTAGTTTGTGTTACCTCTAACCCTGTTTTTTTATTTTTGTGTGTTTTTTTAACTTTGAAAGTAAAAACTTTGGAGAAAGGCATTGACTAAACTTAAACTTTCCTGAAAGATATCATAAAGCATAATTTACTGTGCTTAATTTGAGGAGATCCTACATAAAATTCTAAATCAACTGAAGACACAAATTAGAAGTTCATTATGAATAGTAGCATAGTGTGGGTCTTCCCCAGTGGCCCAGCGGTAAAGAGTCCGCCTGCAGTGCAAGAGGTGCAGGAGGCATGGGTTCAATCACTGTGTCACGAAGATCCCCTGGAGGAGGGCATGACAACCCACTCCAGTATTCTTGCCTGGAGAATCCCATGGACAGAGGAGCCTGGCGGGCTACAGCCCATAGGGTCACAAAGAGTCAGACACAACTGAAGCGACTTAGCACACATGCACACAATATAGTATAGTGTGAAGAGCAGTGGGCAGAGTACCATGAGGATTGGGTTGTTTTCATAGCTCTTCTTCCTCCTGCTAATTATGGGGAGCTCAGCCTTCTTGAACTCTTCATTAATGAGATAAGCACAGGGGCTAGTCATTTTGGTTGGTCTCTGAGATTCTTACATTTCTACTTTCTATAATTTGCATAACAGTGATTCTTTGCTTTAACATAGCAGACACTGGAAATGGCACCCAGAGGAGGTGAGATGAAATCACCAACAGCTGCATGTGAAAGGATGTATCTGAAGGCACTTTGAAAGGCAGGGAATACAATCAAAGTGATAGCCTTTTTATGGCTGATATTGATATTTTTAAAAAGATGAAGAATAGGAGATTGGATTTATGTCCTTAAAATCAGAAAGGGTTTATACCTAACCAAAACACAGAAACATCAAATCCTTATAGATCAGCAGCATGCAAGATGCTACTAACAGAGTCATTTGAGGACCAATAAAAGAAAGAGATTCTTATTATTATCTGTATGCTGCTGCTGCTAAGTCACTCCAGTCGTGTCCGACTCTGTGTGACCCCATAGATGGCAGCCCACCAGGCTCTCCCGTCCCTGGGATTCTCCAGGCAGGAACACTGGAGTGGGTTGCCATTTCCTTCTCCAATGCAGGAAAGTGAAAAGTGAAAGTGAAGTCGCTCAGTCGTGTCCAACTCTTCACGACCCCGTGGACTGCAGCCTACCAGGCTCCTCCGTCCATGGGATTTTCCAGGCAAGAGTACTGGAGTGGGTTGCCATTGACTTCTCCGATTATCTGCATAAAATGTCTAAAACATAAAATGTCATAAAAACACAATGCTAGATCCCCAAGTGATAATAGGAATTGGAAAAAAGCTTATTTAAAGAACGTTCATAAAGTTCCATGAGGGTTCCAATATTTGATTGAGATGGGCTGTGAGGGGATTTGAGGATTTGAAGGCCCTGTGTTTAGAGAATACCAACCCTGTTAGAGAGAATCATATTTAATGACTCACACTCAAATTGTGTGGCCTGGTTTCTATTTTACTCCAGCCCAGTTTGGGGTGGTAAAAAAGGGATTATAAAGAAGGATGAAAGTGGAAGTAACATTTATGGTTTCTTGCAGGTCTTAAATGACTCACACTCAAATTGTGTGGCCTGGTTTCTATTTTACTCCAGCCCAGTTTGGGGTGGTAAAAAAGGGATGATAAAGAAGGATGAAATTGGAAGTAACATTTTTCGTTTCTTGCAGGTCTTAAAGACATGCCTATTGAAGTGAAAAGATGCATACAAGCAGATCTGTGCAAAGAGACAATAACTTATATGGGTTTTCCAATTGCTAACCAGAGTAAAAATTGCAGACCAGCCATCAACAGTGGGACCAGGATCAGACTCCCACCTCCCGTCATCTTTGTTCTCTTCCTGGAGAAGCTGCTTTATTGAGCTCCTGCAACAGCCCAGCTATCTCCATTTATGAATTAAACAGTTATTTTTTTGGTTTATGAATTCTTTCATGTCTATTAAATTTTCCCTAGGTGTGTTCAGTTGTCAATTTATTTACGATTCAGCAAGGTTTATTTGTGTATCCACCCTCACACAATCAGTGTTGGCTCCCTTCTTTTAAGAAGATACCAGGGCATTTTGAGAGTAAGGATATGCACAGGTTAAATGTTTAAAAAGCAATGCAAAAAGCAAGAATGAGAGTGGTACCCCTGCTCAGGTAGCCAAAGCTGATGGTTCTAGACACAAGGTAGACAGAAGTGGGAGAGCATGAATTTGATTAGGGAAAGGTTGAGAATTTACATGAACTTTGAGGAGGTCTGTACTATTTGGCCCCAGGGATAGTGTGCATTAGGACACAGAGATGGGAAAGCGGGCAGAGGCTGCAGCGCAGCAGCTAAGACTAATAGTAGGGAAAGTGACCTAGGTCTAGCACTATGTTTGCTAGACCTGGCATTTGCTTGGTACATAAGGTTGAAAGTTTCCTTTCCTTTTTTTATTTATTTTATATTTTGCAATTTTTTTTCCATAATATTGATTTAAAAACAACAAAAAAAAACAAAAAAAATAGTAAAATATAAAAACAAATTTATGTTTTATAGACCATGGGAAAAAGAATTTTCAGCAAAGTACAAAAATTTAAAGCATTCCTTTCTTTAATTTTGTAATTCTTTACTGTGGAATAGCTCAGAATGTCACTTCTGTTTTAAGTAACAGAATTGATAACTGAGCAAGGAAACGTAATTTGGATTATAAAATTCTTGCTTTAATAAAAATTCCTTAAACAGTGAAAACAAACAAACAAAAAATAGTAGGGAAAGTGGAAGAAGAAAGTGTCAGTAAATATATGGACCTGTCTAGAAGCCTCTATCTGTGCCTGGTGGGAATTGCCACCAATTGGTGAACACAGTGACTTGAGCACAGGCCCCCTCCCTGCAGGTTGGAAAACAGTTCCCCTCGGTCTGCTAGAGATACCATCTCAAGACTGAGACCTCTCTGTGGTTCTTGCTCCTGACTGCTCTTAGAATCACCTGGCAGTTTCAAGTTACAGTGCTCACTTGGGCCATCATTTGGAAACATTTTTTCCTAGTCATTAGGTTGTCTTTTTGTTTTGTTTATGGTGTCCTTTGCTATGCAAAAGCTTGTAAGTTTGACTAGGTCCCACATGTTTATTTTTGCTTTTGTCTATTTATTTATTTTTGCCTTGGGAGATTAACCTGAGAAAACAAACAAGAGGCAGATATTTTTCTTATTGCTTTATTTTACTGGAAGTGTTTTTGCTCAAGTTTTCTAAAGCAGCCTCTATGACAAGTGTTACAACTCTAATAAAAATAAATTTTAAAATACTTTAAAGATTGTTTAAAAAATTAAGGATAAAATAAAAATTAATTTAAGAAATAAAATAGTAAATAAGAAAAGGAAAAAAGAAAATACCATAGAAGAAAAAAAGGGCCACAGATAGATTTAAAAGTCATTGAGTGTGCAGCGTTGCAAATGATCATCAGTTTATGGAGCAGTTAAATAGAATATAGTGAATTTAATAATCTTGTGTTGTTTGCCAGTGCTTGTTAAATTAATCATAGAAGAATTTTACAATTATCATCGTTTGCTCCAATTCAAGATTTCCTTGGAAAAAAACGAATACTTACCAAGTGTTTAATTAAGGACCAGGAAGGTAATTTACACTTTCCCATTGATATTACACTGCACAAGCATGAGATAATTTTTTTTATTGAAGTATAGTTGATTTACAAGTGACTCAGTTATATACATTATTTTTCATATTTTTTCTATTATGGTTTATCACAGAATATTGAATATAGTTCCCTGTGCTATATAGTAGGACCTTGTTGTTTATCCATTCTATATATAACAGTTTCTATCTGCCACCCCAAACTCCCACTCCATCCCTTCTGCACCCCCTTGGCAACTGCAAGTCTATACTCTGTCTGTCTGTCTGTTTCATAGATAAATTCACCTGTGTTATATTTTAGATTCCACATAAACGTGATGTCATATGGTGTTTGCTTTTCTCTTTCTGACTTACCTAGCTTACTATGATAATCTCTAGTTCCAGCCATGTTGCTGCAAATGGCATTATTTCATCCTGTTTTATGAGTAATATCCCACTGTATACATGTACCACATCTTTAGGCTTCCCAGCTGGCTCAGCAGTAAAGAATCTGCCTGCATCCCAGGAGCCGCAGGAGATGCAGGTTCAATCCCTGGGTCAGGAAGATCCCCTGGAGGAGGACATGACAACCCAGTCCAGTATTCTTGCCTGGAGAATCCCATGGACAGAGGAGCCTCATGGGCTACAGTCCATAGGGTTTCAAAGAGTCGGACTTGACTGAAGTGACTTAGCAAGCACACACCACACCTTTATCCATTCATCTGTTGATGGACATGTAGGTTGTTTCCAAGGTTTGGCTATTGTGAATAGTGCTGCTATTAACAGAGGAGTGAATGTATGTATTTGAATTGTAGTTTTGTCTAGATGTATACCCTGGAGTGGGATTGCTGGATCATATGGCAACTCTATTTTTAGTTTTCTGAGGAACCTCCATACTGCTTTTCATAGTGGCTGCATAACTTACATTCTTACTAACAGTATAGGAGAGTTCCCTTTTCTCCATATCCTTTCCAGCATTTGTCATTCATAGACTTTAATCATGGCCATTCTGACCAATGTGAGTTTTGTTTTGTTTTGTTTTATTGCTCTTTATTAAAATATAATTTTTTTCTAAAAGATTCCTTTTTACTTTATTTTTTCCCAATTATTTTTATTAGTTGGAGGCTAATTACTTTACAATATTGTAGTGGTTTTTGCCATACATTGACATGAATCAGCCATGGATTTACATGTGTTCCCCATCCTGAACCTCCCTCCCACCTCCCTCCCCACCCCATCCCTCTGGGTAATCCCAGTGCACCAGCCCTGAGCACTTGTCTCATGCATCCAACCTGGGCTGGTGGTCTGTTTCACCCTTGATAGTATACATGTTTCGATGCTGTTCTCTCAGATCATCCCACCCTTGCCTCCTCCCATAGAGTCCAAAAGTCTGTTCTATACATCTGTGTCCCTTTTTCTGTCTTGCACATAGGGTTATCATTACCATCTTTCTAAATTCCATATATATGCATTAGTATACTGTATTGGTATTTATCTTTCTGGCTTACTTCACTCTCTATAATGGGTTCCAGTTTTATCCATCTCATTAGAACTGATTCAAATGTATTCTTTTTAATGGCTGAGTAATATTCCATGGTGTATATGTACCACAGCTTTCTTATCCATTCATCTACTGATGGGCATCTAGGTTGCTTCCATGTCCTGGCAATTATAAACAGTGCTGCGATGAACACTGGGGTACATGTGTCTCTTTCAGATCTGGTTTCCTCGGTGTGTATGCCCAGGAGTGGGATTGCTAGAAAGTAGTTTTGATTTGCATTACTCTAATAATTAACAATATTGAACACCTTTTCATGTCTCTGGTGGTCATCTATGTCTTCTTTGGAGAAATATCTGTTTAGTTCTTCCTATTTTTTCATTGGATTGTTTAATTTTTTTGTTGTTCAATTATATGAGCTATTTGTAAATTAAGCCCTTGTCAGTCATATCATTTGTAAGTATTTTCTCCTGGTCTGCAGGTTGTCTTTTTTGTTGTTGTTATGGGCAGAGAATGTTTTTCCTATGTTCTCTTCTAGGAGTTTTATGGTATCATGTCTTATTTTTAAGTCTTTGAACCGTTTTTAGTTTATTCTTGTGTGTGGTGTGACGATGTGTTATAACTTCATTGAGGCTGTCAAACTTCCCCAACAGCACTTGCTGAAGAGACTTTCCCATTGCCCCCCTTTGTCAAAGGTAAATTGATCAGAGGTGTGGGTTTATTTCTGAGCTCTCCATTCTGTTCCATTGATCCATCTGTTTTTGTGCCAGTACCACAACTGTTTTGATTACTATAGCTGGTAGTATTGTCTGATGCCTGGGAGTGTAATGCCTCCTACTTTGTTCTTTTTTCTCAGAATTGCTCCAATTCTGAATTTTATGGTTCCATGTAAATTTTAGGATTATTTGTTCTAGTTCTGTGAAAAATGTCATGGGTCGTTTGCTAGGAATTGCATTAAACTTTTAGATTGCTTTGGGTAGTATGGCTATTTTAAACAGTATTAATTCTTCCAATCCAAGAGCGTGGAATGTCTTCCATTTCTTTGAATCACCTTCAGTTTCTTTTATTAATGTTTTATAGTTCTCAACATGTAAGTCTTTTATATCCTTAGTCAGGTTTATTCCTAAGCATTTCTTCTTGAAACATAATTTTACGTTCCCTTTCTGATATTCCCTTGTTAGTGTAAATAAATGCAGATTTCTGTGTTGATCTTGTATCCTACTACCTTGTTGAATTTGTTTATCAATTCTAGTAGTTTTTGTGTAGAGTCTTTAGAGTTTTCTATATGTAGGATCATGGCATCAGTATATAATGACAATTTTACCTCTTCCCTTCCAATTCGGATACCTTTACTTATTTTTCTTATCTGATCACTTCCAATGCCATGTTGAATATAAGTGTTGTGAGTGAGATTTTAGTAAGAATATTGATCCATATTTTGCCTTGATCCAGATTTTAGTAAGAAGTGTTCAGCTTTTCACCATTGAGTATTATATTGGCTATAGGTTTGTCATAAGTAGCTTTTATTATGCTCACATATGTTCCCTCTATACTCACTTTTATGAGAGTTTTTATAATTAATGGATACTGAATTTTATAAAAAGCTTTTTCTGAATCTATTGAGATGATCGTGTAACTTTTGTCTTTTCTTTTGATGATGTGTTGTATCACATTGATTGATTTGTGTACATTGAACCATCCTTGTAAACTTGGGATGCATCAAACTTGGTTGTGATATATGATCTTTTTTATATGTTGTCATTTGTGTTTGCT